ATGACACGAGATTCAGAACAAGACCAGGCGAGGCAAGTTACACTCCAAGACCCACGACGGTTACAAGAGAAGCCCTAGGCGGTTGAAGGAGTAACCACCACTCCGAGGAAGCAGGGAGCGGTTCTTTTTGGGAGTTATCCAAGAGGCGGTTTTCTACCGAAGAAGGGGGAGCGGTTCTTTGTAGCAGTTATCCAACAAACGGTTTTCTATGGCGGTTACCTCCTCGGGGCTATAAATAAGAGGAGGGGTCGACAGAGACAAGGGGTCCAAAACAAACACTCTGACACACATGTCAAGTTTATCCTTTACCTTTTCTCTATCATGTAGCCATAGATGTAGTTCGTAGTTTGGAGCTCTCGCCGAACCTCCATAGGAGTAGAAGTAATTTAATTTAGATCTCGTTCCCAAAAAACCATCAATCGAACACCCTCGTTCGAACTTTGTTTGAAGAGGTGTGAGCCGTGTCTTAGAAATCGTTGTCCATAGAAGTCAAAGGTGCAATCCATCTCAATTCAACACAAGAAGTTTTCTCGCCGGAAAACAAATTTGGCACACCCGGTGGGACCTTGTGTTTGATCTGATGGCTCCAAGACAGAGGCAACAAGAAGGTGATCTCTCACCTGGATTTGTGATGAAGCAAGTGGCTAAGTTTGAATTTGGTCAAGAGATGAAGGATGTTGCCGGAAACAATGGCGTGGTGGAGACTTTATCACCGGCGGCACCAAGTGTTGATATAACCACCAACATCAAGTCACTTCACAAAATATTGGAGGAAGACCGCAAGATGATGGTGGAGAATCGTCAAGCCTGGGAGGAGAACCGCAAGATGATGGCGGAAAACCGTCAAGCCATGGAGGAGAACCGCATGTTGAGGGTGGAGAACGTCCGTGCCATGGAGGAACATCGTTATCCCTTGGAGGGATGCCTAGTCGCCCTTCATCGTGGTGCCCAACAAGTAAGCCTCCGCCTAGCATCTCTCACTTCTCATCTAGATAATCGTTTAAGTCAACTTATAGAGTTGATTAACAAAAATAATGATGATTTCAATGATTTGAAACACCTTTTGATAAAGCAAGTGGTTAAATCAAGAGATTTGCCACTAGATGGTACAAACTCTTCTGATAATGACCAGAATGGCCAACTATGGCAGAAGAGCTTGTCACCTCCAGTGGCAAGCAAACCACTCCATCAATGTGATAGTTATGGTGAGAGGTCCACCTCCACTTTGAACACCAATCATGGGGTCTTGCATGTACAAGGTGATGTTCAACCTCTTGTTCTCGAGGCAAGATCAGATGAGACACTTGTCAATGGACGAGATGGTGAAGATCCATTCAATGTGGACCAAGTACCACCACCTGCTTGCCAGCCCCCAATGCCACCCCTATGGAGTATGCAAGGAGGCGATTCTGATGGACTCAAAACGCATAGAGCTCGGCAAGGGGGGCATGAAAGTCTAACTTCCCACAAGCTGAACCCGAGATGTCCGTCTGGGGGGCATGCGGTGTCTAAGAGGCTACACCAATCACAAGCAACACATGCTTGTGCTAAGCATACTAATTTGGCTAAGTATGGAAAGGGGGGCATGCCTCCAACCACTTTGAGTGGACACGAGGGCATATCTAACAAGTCACTACGTGACAAACCCATAAAAAGTTATTGTGGATTTAAAAATTTGGCCAAGTATGGACAATGCATGTCCAAGAAGCCATATGAAATCCAAGCCACACATGCATATGATAAGCATGCTAGTCTGGCTAAACCTGGACATGGGGGCATGTCACCCATCATGAAGTATGAAGTAAGGGGCATGTCTTGGAAGACACAACAGTTCCAAGCCACTCATGGCTTTTATAAGTGTAAAAATATGGTTAAGTCTGGACAAGAGGGCACGCCACCAATCACAAATGGTGGACATGAGGTCAAGTCCAACAAGAAAAGATGTGGGAAAGCCAAAAAGAGTTCTCGTAGTCTTGAAAATTTAGCTAAGTATGGGAAAGGAGGCATATCACCCACCATAAAAAATGGAGTAGGGGGCATGTCCAAGAAGCTAAAAGAATTCCAGCCTACACATGCTTGTGATAAGTACGCAAGTTTGGCTAAGTGTGGACAAGGGGGCAAGTCCATGTCCATGAGTAGTAAGTACATGTCATCAATCATGAATGATGGACATAGGGGCATGTATAAGAAGGTATCATACACACAAACCAGACATGGCCTCACAAAGAACCAAAGATGGTCGTGTGCTAAGGGTAGGAGCCAACAAGGTTTGGAGGTTGAAAGACAAAATCAAGTGGGCCACATGGGTGGTCGCCAACTTGTCAAGACTAGACATCGTCTCCAACAACATGAGGAGAGTAAGCATGTCTCAACCATGAGGAAACCAAGGCAGAGGAAAACCCATGGTCGTCTTAACATGTCAAGTGATGTGGCTAAAGCATATGAGCAGGAGGCCCCATGCAAGGCCACCAAGGCTAGACATGCTGATCATATACCACCCACTGGTAAGCTAGAAGATTCAAAATTAATGTATGGAGAATCATGTTCCATGGAGGAAAAGAAGCATGTGGTATATGGATGGCTTGCATGTTTTAATCCATGGACTTGGCAATGGGTGTACACCTTTGGTACATTGATTGTTGCCAAAGGCTATGGAGAGCAGTGACATTTGTCACTTCTTGCCATATAAAATAAATAAATTTATATAATGTACTTATTATATATTAGTTATAAAAAAAATATATTGTAGCCAGCCATGGCTAAAAGAAAAGATAGAAGGAAAATCTTGAATCGGAGTTGTTAGACTTCGACATGAAGATCTTGCCACCAAGTTATTGTGATGGCTTGACACGACGAGCCATACATCAGGCCATGCCATGCCATGTTATCTTGTCCCGAGTAGCCACGGCTGGGGGCATGATGGCTTGAAAGTGGTAGTCGAGGAGTGGTGACCATAATGTCTCTACCAACATAAAAATGAACATTATTTTTTCTAAGACAAAAAAGTAGACGGCTTGACTTGTCGCGAGGGAACTGTCTAGCCTTGTGACGAGGTGGGATGAGTCAATCTATGCCAAAATAGGTGCGAAGAATTCTAAGTTATTCTCTCAACCATGTGGCCAAGTACGAGATGTCAATGGGGGTGTAGGTGATAAAGTGAAGTTGGTGTCTCGTTGAATGCATTAGGCGGCTTGACCATTAAAAGCAAAAATTTGGCTAAGGCATGAGGCAAAGTTTTGACGTCGAGTACCATCCTACCACGTTGGCTTGACGTGAAAGTCAAGTTTTTGGCTAATGATGAACTAGGTGTGTTGAGTAGACACTAGCCAGCTTGTTACTTTCACTAGCATGGTGGTGTTCAACTACTTAGTCCATAAGCCTTATGCACTAAGTAGTTGGGGGGCATTTGTTTACACCATAAAATTTGTCTTGTACCACATTGGTGAGTTACAAGATAATTAATGAGTTTATAAGGCCACACCCATTATAACAATTAATGTTGTTTCAGTTGGGCCTTATGGATATTGATTTTAGGCCCAAGCTACTAAGTCTAAAGAGAGGCCATGCCGCCTCAACGAAGAGGCCATGCTGCCCCATGACCAAGGCCTAATGACTAAAAAATAAACTAAGTCTGGAAGAGGTACATGCCACTTCAAGGAGAAGCACGTGCCACTTCACGAGAAGGGGCATAGACGCAAGAAAAGATAGTAAGTATGAGAGGGCCATGTTGTGTCACGAGAAGGCCATGGACATGAGTAAGAAGTCCATGGCCGCGAGACAAGAAGGTCATGGACATGAGTAAGAAGTCCATGGCCGCGAGACAAGAAGGCCATGAACATGAGTAAGAAGTCCATGGCCGTAAGACAAGAAGGCCATGGACATGAGTAAGAAGTCCATGGTCGTAAGACAAGAAGGCCATGGACATGAGTAAGAAGTCCATGGCCGTAAGACAAGAAGGCCATGGACATGAGTAAGAAGTCCATGGTCGTAAGACAAGAAGGCCATGGACATGAGTAAGAAGTCCATGGCCGCGAGTAAGAAGTCCATGGTCGTAAGACAAGAAGGCCATGGACATGAGTAAGAAGTCCATGGTCGTAAGACAAGAAGGCCATGGACATGAGTAAGAAGTTCATGGCCGTAAGACAAGAAGGCCATGGACATGAATGAGAAGTCCATGGCCGCGAAGCAAGAAGACCACGACCCCCTTTGTGAGACACCACATGCTTATCAAAAGACTAGCATGACACGAGATTCAGAACAAGACCAGGCGAGGCAAGTTACACTCCAAGACCCACGACGGTTACAAGAGAAGCCCTAGGCGGTTGAAGGAGTAACCACCACTCCGAGGAAGCAGGGAGCGGTTCTTTTTGGGAGTTATCCAAGAGGCGGTTTTCTACCGAAGAAGGGGGAGCGGTTCTTTGTAGCAGTTATCCAACAAACGGTTTTCTATGGCGGTTACCTCCTCGGGGCTATAAATAAGAGGAGGGGTCGACAGAGACAAGGGGTCCAAAACAAACACTCTGACACACATGTCAAGTTTATCCTTTACCTTTTCTCTATCATGTAGCCATAGATGTAGTTCGTAGTTTGGAGCTCTCGCCGAACCTCCATAGGAGTAGAAGTAATTTAATTTAGATCTCGTTCCCAAAAAACCATCAATCGAACACCCTCGTTCGAACTTTGTTTGAAGAGGTGTGAGCCGTGTCTTAGAAATCGTTGTCCATAGAAGTCAAAGGTGCAATCCATCTCAATTCAACACAAGAAGTTTTCTCGCCGGAAAACACTATGATACCCTATCAGTAGGTTATATACCATAAGTTCATAACCCAATACTATATTTATTGCTAGGAAATATTTTACAACCCATCACATTTACTCTTATTTTGTAGCAACCCATCACACTTTCTAATATTTTACTACCAAACATATTTGCCTTTCACTTCTACTCCTTAATACCGGAATTTCTTGAACTAATAAGTCACAACAAACTCACCATATGCCGGAAATGTTAGGAAAACATCAAAACTGTCTTCCGGATGAACTCATTTGCGCGAAGTTGGCAGAGGAGAGTTACCAAAAATCATTCCTTGCCTACTCTCTCCCTTTTTGTACGTTTCATTAACCCGATTCCAACTCCATCTGGCTTGAAACTGGGAGTGGACCGCCGTGCATTCGCAAGTCTTGGTCTTCGGCAGCTTCAACCACTGAAGAAGGTGAAAAGCCTAACAAGGATCGGAATCAGATGCTAGAGAGTCAATGTACCTGGACACATTCTCCTCCTCCCACTATGTCTAGACCCCTCTCCTTTCTCCTTAATAACCCTTCCTCCCCTTTTCCCCGGACCTTCCCTCTCCGTCAGTTGTTTATCAATTCCACGCGCTCCCTTACTCCAGCCGCCGCACCAATCTTCCGCCGCCCATCCCTCATGGCCGCTCTATCCACCGTCTCCGTTCCCCACCCCGACAAAGATGCCACTGCTGCTGTCACTCCAAATTCCTCGCAGACCCAGCACCCGTTACAGGTTTTCCATGTTACCCTTGTTTTTGTCTTTTCGGATTCATAACGTTTGATTCGGTTTCCAATCTGGGGTTTGGTTTTTGATCGCGATCGGCGGGTTCAATGGATCGATCGGCTCAGATATTGGTTGGTGTCCTGTTTTGATTTCTCATGCTTTATGGGTAGCGTAAAGGGAGTAGCTTGTGTATTCTTGGGGCTGGTTGGTTGTACTATTTGCTTCTCTTGTCCTGAATTGGAAGACTTACTTGATCAGTGTGAAAAAAAGTGCATCTTTCATGTTTGGTGGCATTGTGAATTGAAGGCATGGAGAATGGTGCTCGATATGATGTGATTCCCATTATTGTAGTACTAGTTGGTTAAGAAGTAGGGTTTTTCAAAAGTTCAAAAAGCAAGTTGGCGTTGTTTTCTGTTGGTGCCAATTAAGAAGTTCCAAGAGGATGGTCCCATCGGAGGAAAATGAGTTCTATGTAGCTGCTGCTCAATTGCATCCTTCTTAAGCATGCAGTTCTTTAGCTTGCTGCTTTTGGAGAGCTCAGATTCGTCATTTTGGCTTCTACTTTGGTGTTTGTTTACTTGAATTTATGTGTTGCTTACAGAGTGGGAATAATGTTTGTGAAGCTATATGACGAACTTGCTCGTTGCTACACGGTAGGATGTAGCTGCAAGACAGCAGAGTGACTAGTGGAATCATTTCGTCCTGATTCTTTATTGTTATCAAAATGGGTCTGCATTAGACTTAACTCTTTTGTTGGAGTTCATGTAGTAACATCGATAAGTAACTTGACACAACATTTCTTTTCCAGGTTGCAAAGCGTTTAGAGAAGTTCAAAACTACTATATTCACTCAGATGAGCATGCTAGCTATTAAACATGGAGCAATAAACCTTGGTCAAGGATTTCCGAACTTTGATGGCCCCGACTTTGTTAAAGAGGCAGCTATTCAGGCCATAAAGGATGGGAAGAATCAATATGCTCGTGGGTTCGGGGTCCCGGATTGCAATGCTGCCATTGCTGAGCGATTCAAGAAGGACACTGGTCTTGTAGTGGACCCCGACAAAGAGATTACTGTCACCTCAGGCTGCACAGAAGCCATAGCAGCAACAATGTTGGGCTTGATAAATCCTGGTGATGAAGTGATTGTCTTTGCTCCTTTCTACGACTCCTATGAGGCTACACTATCAATGGCAGGTGCCCAAGTCAAATCCATAACTCTGCGCCCCCCAGATTTTGCTGTTCCACTGGATGAGTTCAAATCTGCCATATCGAAGAATACCCGTGCAGTTCTTATCAACACTCCACATAATCCAACTGGCAAGATGTTTACTAGGGAAGAACTGGACACTATTGCATCACTCTGCATTGAGAATGATGTGCTGGTTTTTTCTGACGAGGTCTATGATAAGTTGGCCTTTGAAGCCGATCACATCTCTATGGCATCACTTCCTGGGATGTACGAGAGAACAGTGACCTTGAACTCTTTAGGGAAGACCTTCTCATTAACCGGGTGGAAGATTGGGTGGGCCATAGCTCCCCCTCACTTAACGTGGGGAGTGAGACAGGCACATTCTTACCTCACTTTTGCTACATCTACTCCAATGCAGTCGGCAGCTGCTGTAGCACTTCGAGCCCCAGATTCTTACTACGAGGAGCTGAGAAGGGACTACTCGACAAAGAAGGAGATTCTGGTTAAAGGGTTGAAGGATGTTGGCTTCAAAGTATTCCCATCGAGCGGGACCTACTTTGTGGTGGTCGATCATACCCCTTTTGGCCTCGACAACGATATTGCATTTTGTGAGTATTTGATTAAAGAAGTTGGTGTGGTGGCGATTCCGACTAGTGTTTTCTACTTGAATCCAGAAGATGGGAAGAACTTGGTGAGGTTCACCTTCTGCAAAGATGAGGGAACGTTGCTGAGCGCTGTGGAGAGAATGAAGGAGAAACTGAAGCGAAACTGAGACCATTGTTATATATAGATTGTAGCTTTTCTTTCGGAATGTATTGAGAATTTGGCACCTGATGTATGCTTATTTATGTGTCGGAAGGCTAGAGGTCGGCAGAACTCATTTCTGATTACCTAGTTGCGCAATAAGCAGGACCGTTTTCTTTCGAAAGTCATTTTCTCCCATTTGTGATGGTAGCATGATGTAAAACATGACCACCAAGTTGGCAGAGTAGAGTTCCCAAAATCCCAGAGTTTAAATTGCGCATTACACTGTTGAAGCAAAACTAGAACATTGTTTACCAGCAAAAACCAAATCAATCAAGTTTTAAACACACCAATCTAAAAAGCATTATCCTGAACAAGCTACAACTGCCTTCTACATGTCGAAAGTTTATTATTACATGCCGTTAACATGGGCTTCCAAGAAACGAGCACTCAGCTTCGATTTCGCAATTCTACATAGCCGCTTCATAAGAGCTTAATTTGGTCTTTTATCTCCCAAGAAAGAGGATTTTAATCTACCCACAAAACCAAGAGGTCGCAGAAGGCCGGAGAAACCCATAACAACCATCATGTTTCCAGTTTCCATCTACCTTTGGTACTCATTACAGCAGTGCCAGCCTTGCTGACTACTCTTGGCAATTCATCGATGTCAGGTATGAGTATGACAAGACACCCAGGAGACAGGCTTACTCTTCCTGTGCTCAGCATTCAGCAACCATATCCAGGATGGGGCAGCAGTTTCTTACTTATCGGGACTAGGATCCCCATAAGAAACCAGACCTTGCTGTCCTCCTGACAATGAGCTTGATCTCGACCTGCTACTAGCTGTTCTACCTCGTTTTGGTGGTGCACGATCTGGAGATTTCGAGAGAGGAGACGATGACCTGCTCCTTGACCTGGAGCTAGCAGTAGACCTGGATGTTGACCTCAGTCTTCCTTTCTTACCTGAATTGTCATCATCAATTCGAGGGCCAAGACGTGATCTCAAACCCTCACTAACAGGAGGCCGCTTGTCTGTTGGACTGGGACTTCGTATAGGAGGGCTCTGGCTCCTGCTGTGAGCTCTGTTCCTTCTTCCATGATAATTTCCTGGGCTGCTCCGAGATCTGCTCCTACTTCTACTTCTACGACGTCCATATCTGCAGTATATGGTTGGATTTTAGCAAAGGTTGACAGATGATATAAAATATTTTTCAGAAAGAAAAGCAATTGATGAGTGATGCATTGTAAATTGTTTATCAATAAGGCATTCAGAAATTAACTATTATCTGTATTAAATTTGTGGCATTATAAAAAAAAATTGTTTTAAGAGTCCGATTGAACATGTTCATTTTAACTTGCTTTCAAGCCAACTCTTTTTAAGTTATTTTCAAAGGGTATCTACACATAACCCTATTTCATCGTTCATGATTTAGGAACATGGACTAAATATAGAGTGGAACCAGAAACAGCACCTAGGGGGACTTCTGCCTCTTGCTGGGCTTCTGTATCGTCCATACTGTGAACGTCCCGAATAATTTTGATAGCTTGAGTACCTGTACAGGGAATAGGTAAAAAAGCATAAGATGGAGGGAAAAACAATTTGAACCCAAATAGTATTTGTAATGAAGTTAAAACAATGCACCCGATCAAGATATGTATACCTGTCATTGTTCCTTTCATTGACATTTCTTCCCCCATAATAGAAAGACCTGCGAGGACCCTCTGGAGAAGGGGTGCGGTATCGACGAGCAAAGGAATACTGTTGGGTGAAGCCACGTCCTTTCCTAATGCGCTTGGGGACACCATTCGGAGATGGGCTTCGTGACTCAGCACCCCGCCCTCGGTTAGAGGTAAGAGGTCCCAGAGCCCTACGAGCAGGACTGTGCACAGGACTCCTTGAAATCCTCTGCTCTCTTTCAACAGACCTTCTAACAGGACTCCCATAATCACTTCTCAATTTTGGACTCCGGGAAGCTTTTTCAGGACTTTGGCTCGAGATGCGCCTCTGGCTGTTGTTTGGTCTCTTTCTAGGGCTTCGCATGACATTCCTGTGTATACAACCATCAAGAGGAGACTCACATGAGCTCTAAAATCACAAGGCAGAGACATGAGCCAACACAAGGAAAAAATTAGATGATGATTACACACTTGGATCTATCGGAGTCGTGAGAAGAAGTGTGGCGAATATCATTTTTATCAGCTTTAGAATCTATATCATGCCCATTCTTCAAAAGCTTGTCCCGCTTCAGAGGCAATTCTCCTTCTTCATGTGGAGAATTCACTTCAGTCATTGACTTCTGTTGGCCATTCCCTTTGTGTACTGCAGCTTTCTCAGATTGTTGACCACCAGACTTTTTCATCTCATCTGTACCATAGTAACCTTTTAGCCAAATATACAAGGCGGGCAAAGTAGATGAAAATTGCATGAAGTACCGCCATGTCCATGTGAAGACAGGACATATATGAATGGCACATGATGATTGCATAGGAGAAGGCCTACCAAGATTAAGCATCGAATTTTCAGCCATAGTAGAATTGTTGCTTTTACGAGAGAGAACACGATCAGTTTCATTGTCTTCAGAACTACTGCTTCTGCTACTTTCAGTTTCAGAATCACTTGCACTGTCCGAACTCCTGAAAACAAAACAATTATCAAAATGGACAAGAAATAAAGGCCTAGAGGTTGCTGTTACAGTAAATACAAAATCAAACCGTTTAGACTTGCGCCTGGATCTCTTATCACGCCTACTCCTCTTCTTCTCCCTTTTCTTGTCCCTCTTTTTCCTCTTGCCTTGGCGTTTATCTCTTTTCAAGGACTTCCTCTTCTTGTGTCTCCCATCACTAGAACTTGAATCAAATGATGAAGAATCTGAGTCTGAAGTTTCAGAATCTGAAGAATAAGATTCTGACTCAGAATCTGAGCTGTATGAATCAGATGAAGAGTATCTTTTTCTTCTTCTCTTCCTTCTATCCTTCAGTAATTTTTTACGTCCTCCTTTAACCTTTTCATCAGAGCTATCATCTGAAGCAAATTTTCCAGATTTCTTTTTGGTTCCTGCACAAGTCACATTGTACTTCATAAGGTAAGCTCTAAACGAAATAATTGGATTGCATGTACTCCATTTGTTTGTAAATTGAACAACCATAAGGATACCTGAATCCTTTCCCACAGTATGAAGTTTAGCATCAGAAGTTTCACCACAGTCCACAACTCTTACAGGTTGAAGAGGATCCCCTTTAGCTGTTCCTACCAGTTCAATTTTCTTTAGTATATCAAGTCCCTTAACAACCTTCCCAAAAACAACATGTTTCCTGCATATATGTAAAATGTGAGAATCCAGAAAACTCCAGTGCTACTTAGCAACAAACATTGCCAACGGCTAAATGATCAGAACTAAATGAAGATCTTGTACCCATCAAGGTGAGGCTGACTCTTAAAAGTAATGAAAAATTGAGATCCATTCGTGTTCGGACCACTATTTGCCATAGAAAGGATGCCCGGTCCTTCATGCCTCAATTTAAAGTTCTCATCTGCAGCAGAAAAATGATCCTGTTAATAAGAGCAAAGAGATTGACCATTACGTAACAAAAAAAATCATGAGAAAGAAGATTAACCTGAAAATTTCCCTCCATAGATACTCTCTCCACCAGTACCTGTCAGGCAAACAGAGTCAGCCCATTGAAGTGCAGCCTTTGGATACCATTCTTTACTGAAACACTATTGAGAGAGAAAAACAAAATGCTTACCGTTTCCCTTTGAGAAGTCACCACCCTGTCAGCAAAGGAATAACCAAAAAGAATTATCAGGAAATAGTAACCAAAAAAATATGTCCTATAGTGAACCATATGCAAGTATATTTGAAAAGATACAAAATGGTCACAGGTTAACATCAAATGGTTAGTAAAATACTGGAGATGATTATTGAGGTAAGGCTAAGATGAGTACAATGCCCCCATGCAAATTTTCAAATTTCTAATCTTAAGACAATAGAAAGTTCTCTCAAACACCGGGATTCAAACCAAACTTGTCTGCAAATAGTAGCCAGACAATTAGTATCATATAGCATGGATGTATAAGTAAAAGGGAAAACTGCATACCTGAGCCATGAATCCTTTAATTACTCGATGGAAAGAGGATCCTTTGTAGTGCAGAGGTTTCCCAGTACTATCCCCAATCCCCTTCTCCCCTGCAATTGACAATAAAAGAAATGCATCAGATATGCATTATAATTGCTAAATATAGATACCAGTGCTTCACATATGCTGAAGCACACCTCAACAAGAAAAGTATTTCATCAGTTCAGCATGCCATAAAAGATAAATATAAAAAATTAAGAAGACAGTCCTATAACAATTCATGGCAACAGACCGTGGCAATCACAATAAACAGTTAATGGAAATGAACAAACAGAAGGCAAGTTAACAGCAACCATATAAGGGCAGTGCTTGTGACAGTGCAGCTAACTGCAGTTTGTGAAGAACAGTGAAAATTCAACATACCAGTGCACAGCGCCCGGAAATTTTCTGCGGTCTTGGGAACAACATCAGCAAAAAGCTGCATTTGGAGGGAACAGAGTGTTATTACTCACTCGAACTCCATTGTTACAAAAGGAACCAGTGGGCAAATGGAGTCAAAGTACTTCCTTGTAGATTACCTCAATAACAATTCGTTCCGCCGGATCCCGGTCGATAGATAAATCAAAAAACACGGAAGGATTTTTCTTCTTGCTCATCTTTGCTTTCCCTGTAACACGGCAATAAACTGTTCAGGTTGCACACAGCTTAGGTGAACATTCATTAGTAGAGCAACTATATACAGATACAAATAGTGAGGCACACATCCATCGTCCTACAGCGAATTCTCACGAGGAGCTGGGAACAAAACCAAAAATGAAAATCTACAATCAAAATAATAGGGACAACGTTCCATTATCAAAACGATCACTTCATTCGACGAGGCAAAATAGAATCTTGGATCTTTATAATAACAGAAGGTGTGGGGGAAGCAAAAACCCTAAACCCTAAATCTAGGGTTCAAGAAATTCTCCGGATATTAAGCCCCCAGTCGAGGTCTATCAGATTTCTAATTAGTGCCAGCATCCATAAAAGTGGAAACGCAAACTAGCAGAATAACGCATCGGTGAAAGTGGCGACCGTACGATCACTGAGATAAAGGCAAACAGAGAAAAGATAGGCAATTGTTTCAGCTATGAAGCTGAGATGAAGGATGAGCAGGCAACTTACCTTTGGTTGGAACGAAACGGGAAGCAAACCAATTGGAGAATGGAAAAAATGGCGCCGCCGACTGTAATCGGCAGTGACCAACTCGTAAGTGGGAGAATATCAAACTCAGTTGACGAATGGCCGCTGGCCGCTGCTGCCCATCATAGGCTAGATTTGTCCTGTGCCCGAAATTCTTTTTTGCTTTTTCTTTTTCGTAGGAATACGGCAAGGTTGTCAACCCGCGGGTCGACCCGCGGGTTGACCCACTTTGACCCTGACCCGGTGAGAAAAACGGGCCGCACGCACCCGCCGGGTCGACCGCTACAAGGTACCGGGTTGGAGGTCAAATTGTATCATTTTTTTCTTTGTTTTGCGAAATGCGCCTATTTTCCGATTTTTCTTTTCGCCTACCTCAATCTTTGGAATCCTAAGTTGAACATTTGAATATTAATGTTATATAAGTCTGTATGAATTTTCATTATATGTTGAATCTAAGTACGAAATGTTATTTTGGTGTAATATTATATGTTATAACTCATATGTTAGATGAGATTTGATATAATTTTATCAGGATAAGTACAATATAATGACGCTTTCCATATTTCCGGGCTAAACCGGGCTAAAACGGGTGACCCATTGACCCTTGACCCACTAGCTCAACCGGGTCCGGGTCAACCCGCGGGTTGACAACCTTGGAATACGGTGTTTAGGGTTTTTTCCTAAAAACAATGAATTTTTTCAAAATATTGTCCAAGACACGATAGAGATGGCAAAAATATCAGTAATCGTGAATATCCTCCCGAATTCGCCCTAATTGGGTAGGGTAAAAACCGAAATCGAAGGACTTTTAGTGAGTACGATGAACCAAAGGGTCGACTATTAAATTTTAGATTAAATTAACTTTATGGTACGGATTACAGAATCAAGGATTGGGGTTCACCTATTAGAGGCTAGGGTATAGTATCATGGTCAAACTCTTGTTAATTTGTGGTCTAGATAACATGGTAAAGGAAACCGTACCGGAAGTCATACCAGACCCGTCTGTGGTAGGGTATTTTGTGATATGACCGTGGTTCAACCGTTATGTAGCGGTAAAATACCATTTTCGTAATAAAATTTTTTTGTTGTTAAAAAACCGTACCGGCAGATTTATGATACCGTTTCGGAGTAATAGCGGAATATATTGGATAAAAATCTGAATAAAATAAATATGCATTAAGTAATATAACAATCAACAAAGTGCAACATTACTAAATAAACTACATTATCGTTCAAATGCATGTTTAGGATCGAGTACAAAACAACTAAATAACATTCTCAAACCACTAGTTCAAACAACATTCTCAAACCAAGCAACCAAACAACATAATCGTTCAAAGTACACTCTTTGCGGCAACCTTTGGATTACTAGAGGGTGCTCCTTGATCAACCGATCGGGCTTCCGATCTTCTCCACTGGCCATTGCTGTCAAAACATCCAAAATTTCAATCAAAATAGAGGACAAAAATTATTATACAATATAGTCTCCAAATACTATCTATTTTTCACCTAACGTTGTAAAACAAAACTCAACCATATACTAAAATCAGTCAAAAGCATGAAACAGGGGAGGGAGAGTGGGAGACTCGACTTACCTTGAAGGCTTGAACTCGCGTTCTTGAGCAGGGTCAACGCGTTCTTGTCTTCTTGAGCAGCAGGGGAGGGAGACTCGAGCAGGCAGCGCGGCTGAAGAGGAGAGAAGAGGAGCGACGGAGTGGATCAGGGATCGATGCCAATCTCTAGTCGCCAATCGCCATGGAGCGGAGTAGGGAGCGGCGGAGCGGCGGTCATGGGTTTCCTCTTTGCTTTCTCCGGTCGCACATCGTGGGTCTCGGGTCGCCACTCGCAATCGCCCGAGGAGAAGAGGAGGAGCAGCGAACGGGGCTGGGGAAAGGAAACTATGAAAGAAAGGACTCCCAGATGGCCATATAGGGTTTTTGCGATTTTGGACTTTGGCCGATTTGTTTTTTTTTTTAATTTTCAGTGTCAAAACGGTGATGTTTTCCTTCCAGCGAGCCTACCGCCGGTTAGACCAAAGCCTGGCGGTATTTTCTTTTGTAACGATTGAGCCGAAAAAATCGTCTGACACAATATTCTGGAGTCAACCAGCCTACTGTATCGTTCTTGGTCCGGTTTCCCATTTTTTCAGTTGAACCGGTTGGTACGATCCGATTTCCTGGTCCATGCTAGATAATAAAACTTGACGGTTGTACAGTGGTGTGAATTTAGGCGTATAGCATGCTTAACATCCGCTACAATCAAACATCATACTCGTATTTGAAGGAAAACACAGAGGGAGTGAATTGGGATTATAGAAACCTAACTTCTGGAAAAAGTTTTCCTTTCTTTGTTTAAGCGTCTCTGGCCATAAGTTAGACCGCCATTTTCTAGTATGAAACTTTGGACGAATTCTTAGCTCTGGTGTTGCTCTAGAGGCATAACAAACCACCCCCCCTAAAGTTGTGTCATTTGGAAATGGATATGGTGTACTTCTAGGTTTGGAAAGTAGGTTTCCTTTAGGGTTTCTTAGGGATAACTCGTGTTCTAGAGCCTACTGTCATCATACAATACTCTGGACTTCGATTGGTGACTTGAGCACTCCAGAAATCGATTTTTGGGCTCTTCTATGATTTTGTCGGGTTTGGACCCTTATTTTACAGCGAGAAAACTCGTTTTGAGATAAAATTGAATGCACCTTTGACTTCTAAGCAAACGATTAAACAAACACAGTTCACACCTCTTTAAACAATGTTCAAACAAGAGTGTTTGATATTTTTTATAATCTACGAGACAAAACTACATTAAATTAACTCTACTCCTATGGAGCTCGTGCAAGAGCTCCAGACCTACAATTATAGTTAAATTTGCAGAGAAAGGGATAAAAGGATAAAATTTGACATTGGGTTGTCTAGTGTGAATATTGCGAACCTTTGATCTGTCATCTTCCCTCCTATTTAAAGCCATTAGAAGTATCTGCCTTGGGAAACTACTCAACTGACATGGAGTGACGGTTACCCTTTCAACCTACCTAACATTGGATGTGCCACCCTCTTTAGTTTGACCCCCTCCTATTGTTAGCACCTCCTTAGCTTGGGTTTTCGAATGAGAAAAGGGTTAAGGCATGAAGACACCCCTTGTCACATGTGGGTGGGTATTCAAATCACATGGGTCAAACTGGTAAAAATAATTCACCACTTATCACCATGAGAGTGGCAGTGGTTATTCTCTTGCCACTTTATGTTACTGACTCGCTGTTACTCTCACTCTAGAAATTGGCCAAGTGTAACCACTTCCTAAAGCGTAGTATAGCAGGTTGGGTTTTAATGTCAACCCGGGTCCTAGATGTGATGACTACTCAGTGAATTCGTATTATCTAGCAATGAAACTTTAGTGAAGTTCTAAACTAACAAGCAAGCAAAGCAACTAAACGTTTGTATTCAGGTTAAGAGAGGTCACCCGGATATGGTTCCCCCTAGACTGCAGTTAAGCCGGATTGTAATTGCCAAGTTCGATTTCTATGATAGTTATACTGCGGAAGGTTCTCAAACAGTCTGAAGTCTCGACTAAAGGTCTTCAGACCCTCTCAATCTGAGTCTCTAGCTGGCGACTAACCTACACCGGAGTAAACAGATTGAGGCCCTATGAACAAAACCTCCACTACCGAATGGAATTCGGTCCAGCATAGTGAACTGGCTCCTCGACTAAAGTCACCAATTCACTACCTTCGATTAAGGATACTCTATCAACCTAGGCAGATATTATCATTCTAGGTTAAAGCAGAAACAACAGGAATTTGATCAGGATTCAAGTCATTCAATCATTCAAACCTCAATCGAATATAATCAAATCATAGAATCAAAACTTGGGTTCATACAATCAAACCTAACATACAGAACTAGGGTTTCCCATACCCAGATGAATGGGAGAACTACTCCATGGAGAAAGAAGCAAAAGCAGAATCAGACGCGGAAATCATACTGTGAAGATGGATTTCTGCTCCTGGACGTTTAATCGGCACTTCTCCAAGCTCAAACCAAGCTCCAATGGTGTTGAAGATCGATCTAGGGCACTTGGAGGCTCTTGTTCGTCGCTTTCTCTCTCTAGGAACCGCTCTGTCTCTCAAAAACTCGAATCCCCTTCTGTTTGGCTCGGAATCCGCTTAAAACCCAGACTTTCCCGACTCGCACGGCCAGGGTGCACGGCCGTGCATATCACCATTCTGGCCGTGCGACTCAAAACGCGGCGTACCATTAAGTCGAACCTCAGCCATCTCGCACGGCCAGGATTGCACCTTGCACGGCCGTGCGGATTTCGCTTGTGCCCGTGCGTGCCCACGCACAATCCCGCACGGCCAAACTGGTCACGTGCACGGCCGTGCGGATTTCACTTGTGCCCGTGCGTGCCCACGCACAATCCCGCACGGCCAAACTAGTCACGTGCACGGCCGTGCGGGTTGTGGGTGTGCTCGTGCGACTTCCTCAGAACCTCGCCATGCGTCCGATCCTCGTCCAATCGACCTCAAACTCGCTCCCAAGCCTCCATTCACGTACTAGGACCTGAAATATCATAAACAAGCACAACCTAGCGTGAAATCGGCCTAAAACACGAGAATCAATACCTCAAACGGAGTAAGAGCAGGGGTAAAAACATGTGTAACTAACGGTCTATCAAACTCCCCCACACTTAACCGTTTGCTTGTCCCCAAGCAAACCTATCTCAAACCAATGCAACTCTCCAGACCTCTGTAGCAACAAACAACCTCGATCGTAGGTAGAGGACTTCCTAGATCATTTAGCAACTTACGAGGTCAACCGACGCACAAGTCATCTCATAACTTCTTCGGCGAGAGCACTAGTCTCGAGTCAGCATCATGGCAAATAGTGAACAGAGGACAAATGAATCGTGGATGAGGAGACTCTCACAAGCAAAAGATCATGGACTCACATTTTTCAAGGTGCTCGATTTTCTTCTTGGAGATGGTTGGAACCCCTTTTCTTCCTTTCTGTTTTTCTCTTTTTTTTTTCAAGGGTTCCAACCTGTTTTTGCAGAAAACGAGGGCTCCCACCTAGCAAAGGTTTTGCGGGAGCCCGGCTCTTACCGGCCATGCCAGGAGCAGTTGTCTCGAGCCTCGTGCGGGGGAAAGACATGTAAGGGGGCTGGAGGTAGTAG